CTGGGGCTGGGCAGGGCCGAGGGCTGGGCCTCGGGAAAGGTCACTGTGCTGAGCCCTCCAGCCCGGAGTCTAGGGACCACACCACAGGGAGGCTCTAACCCTGGCCTCCTGTGCCTGCAGTTCTCAGGGTTCTGGTACATTCTTGCTGTCGCCACCGACGCCCCGGGCTTCCTGCCAGCCAGAGACAAGAGGAAGCTGGGGGCAGCCGTGGTGCAGGTGCACAGAACGGGCCGGCTGCTGGTGACCGTTGCCTTCAGCCGGTGAGGGGAGCCGGAGTGGCCCCTGACACCCTGTGCAGACTGTTTGGGGGTGGGAAGGGGTGGGCAGTGTAGGGGTCCACAAAGATGCCCAACTCTGCCAACTCTGAAACCAAAGGACGGGTTTGGGAGAGGTGCCAGCAGCCAGGGGAGTCCAGCGGAAGCTGGGTCCTGTGTGTCTCCTCCCGGCTGCAGGCAGGCCCTGTCCACACTGGACACTCTGGACAGCAGAGCCTCCAGATCCAAACCTGCGCCCCCACTCCCACCCACAGCCCTGTCCTGGGCCCCAGGCCCCAGGGAGCTGAGGGCGGCGGACTTGGGGCAGGGGCTCCCCGACCTTGAGCTCACACCCCCCTCCCCAGGTCTCGGGGCTGCCAGTCCCGGGAGGTGAGCCTGCGGAAAGACAAGAAGAAGGCCGTGTTCAGGAACAGCCGTAGGCGGGGCCCGGGTGGGGACACGGGGAACTGGACAGGGTGCCCCGGAGCGGATGGCGGGCAGGGTGGACACGGGGTAGGGTGTCAGGCTCTGGGTGACTTGGCCGGCCGGGAGACCCTGGGTGCGGTGCCGGGCCAGGCAGCAGGGCCTGTGTCAAGCCAAGGTGGCCTGTGGCTCCCTTGCAGTGAGGGGAGTACTGGGCTTCCACGTGCTGTCCACCGACTACAGCTACGGCCTGGTGCTCCTCCGCCTGGGCCGCGCGGGCCGCACCTACAGGAGCCTGCTGCTCTTCCGTGAGTGACTGCCAGGGCCGGTCAGCCTGGGGGTGGTGATGGGGTGAGGGTGGGCTGGACGAGGGCAGGGGGCTGGACACAGGTCAGGGCGGCCACGGCCTTGGGGCCCACGCCGGGGCGGAAGGAGCAGAGGTGCATGGTGGCCTGTGGCCAGCAGAGCAGGCAGGTGGGTGGTTGGAAGGGACAAGGGAAGTCGAGACCACAGGGTGGGGGCCTGGGGTGGCCATGCAGGGTTGGCGGGGAAGTCAGGACCCGGGGCTGCCACGTAGGGGGCAGTCTGTGCAGACGCTGGCTGCCCCATGTGCTGCTGGACCTGGGAGACGGGCCAGGCGGGACGGTGGGACTGACAGGGGCGAGGAGAGGG